CTGGGCTAGGGATTCGAACCCGCCACCTTAGGTGTACGTGGCTGGCGCCTTAGCCGGTTGAGCTATAGGCGCCGAGCCCCATTGTAATTTTTAATGACCTCTTGGTATCCTTCTAATTTATGGTTATATCATAATTTAATCATTTATGTTGACTTTTATATGATTTCTATTTTTTGTTATTAAAAAAATAATACTGCGATGATCTTAACTCAAGCTTTTGCTTATATGCTTAATTATTTCCTTAGAATAAATTTCTAGAAATAGAATTGCTGAATTACAGGATGTCACTTCTTTTTAAGGCTTGTTTTTATACTGCCAAATACTTCTACAGAGAGTTGAACAGTATATGAGATGGTTTGTATGGCCTTTGCTAATTGAGGGCACATTTATAAAATCAATACTGTTATATCCTGAGAGTGTTTAAAACCACAGAAATATATTTGTTTCACTCTTTCTAATCACAAGGAATGTTTTTATTTTATTTTTTTGTTTTGTCTCATTTAGCAGGCGCAGGCTGAGTTTGAACCCATCACCTCTGGTGCATGGTACCGGTGCTCTAACCATGGAGCTATAGGCACCCAAACTGTTTTATAAATTTGTAGAAAAATCCTCAGTTACCAGATACAGTCTACAGAAATTGATATAATTTAATCCAGTTACGTATTACTAAAACGTGGCAATACTAGGGTAGTGTTAAGGCTATTTTTTCAGTTTTTCTTAAAAAAAATTTTATGTTAAAATGCATCATTGATAAAGCTTTGTTGCCTTTTTCATGTAGTTTGTATATTTATAAAAAAAATATATAAATATATTAGGAATTTCTATTTTTCCATCCATATTGAGAAATGTAATAGTATTATGAAAATTTTCAAATATGTAAAGCCTTGAAGAATAGTACAATTAATATCCATATACTCTCCAGTTAGCCTCAACAACATTTGTTAACACTTTGTCATTTGCTTTATGCGTATGTATGTGTGTATTTTCTCCCCTAAACATTCGAAAGAAAACTGTAAACGTCAACTACTTTATATCTACTTTGTTATATATCATCTAAGAATTCAGACCTTGCCCTAATTAAACACAATAATCTTATTCCACCAAGAAAATTAACTTGATGTCCTTCATATATACTCTACTTCATATATATATGTACCCTTCAGTCTTTTTTTTGTTTGTTTTTCACCAAACATCCATAGAATTTCTTTGATTTTTCAATGAAAAACCATCACATCAAATTTCATGCATTACTTTAGTCTTTTAATCTGTTTCTGTTCAATTTTGTCCTACTTAGTGGAAAATAGGTTGGTTTTTCTTCTTTTGCCTCAAGACTCAGTCTCCTGTCTTGTTTGTTGTTGAAATGTAAATAATATTTAAGTAATAAACAGGAAATGAGTTTTGGAGAAGATTCTGAAGGAAATCATTGGCAGAGACAGATGTGTTTTGCTTTGTTTCTAAATATTGATTATTGGTGTGCCTTCAATGTCAAAATTATATAAATTAATTATATTTGTTTTATAGGTTCATGTCAAGGGGTTTAAAAAAAATTTGAATCATTCTTTTTTTTCTTTGACTTTTAGGAATTCTTTTAGTTGGACCACCAGGGACTGGAAAGACACTTCTTGCCCAAGCTATGGCAGGAGAAGCTGATGTTCCTTTTTATTATGTTTCTGGATCAGAATTTGATGAGATGTTCCTGGGTTTGGGAGCCTGCCGTATCAGAAATCTTTTTAGTACGTTTTGCTGTATCTTTCATAAAATGACAATTTTTAAAAATTTTACAGGAAGAGTATATTTTACCCTTTGGTTTGGCTTGGGTTTTTTTGTTTGTTTATATTGAGACAGAGTCTCACTTTGTTGCCCTTGGTAGAGTGCTGCAGCATTGTAGCTCACAGCACTTAACTCCTGGGCTTAAGTGATCCTCTTGCCTCAGCCTCCCAAGTAGCTGGAACTACAGGCTACCGCCACAATGCCTGGATATTTTTAGAGATGGAGGTCTCACTCCTGCTCAGGGTGATCTTGAACTCCTGACCTCAACCAATCTACTTGCCTTGGCCTCCCAGAGTTTTAAGATTATAGGCATGAGTTACCATGCCCAGCAGGCTAATGGCTTTTTACTGACAGCCAGCTCAACTGGCCATTGTGGGGTCCTGGTTTTAGGTAACTTATATATGAGCTAAGAGATAACTGTCTTCCTTTTCTAAACAGTTGGATTTAACAGAAGAGCTAGAGGAATGCTCAAGATAATGTTGGGGGCTGCCAAAATAGCTCTTAGCTTTTGTTCAGTTTATTCATCAATTCTTTAGTATGTAATTAAGGAGACATTAGCCTCAGACCTGACTGTATATAATACTTGTACAGCTAGGAAAAATGAATACCCGATTGTTTTTATTTTATATCCTACTTCTTCACTCTCCCATCCCCAGGCCACTATTCTTAAATCACTACAAAACAGTCTTACAGGTGTAACTGGTTTTGTTTGAAAAGTATTGATTTTTTTAAAACTTTTTTGTTTTCTTAGGGGAAGCGAAAGCAAATGCTCCTTGTATTGTATGTATTGATGAATTAGATTCTGTTGGTGGGAAGAGAATTCAATCTCCAATGGATCCATATTCAAGGCAGACTATAAATCAACTTCTTGCTGAAATGGATTGGTAATTGAGTCTTCCTTTCTCCATAGAATATGGTGATGCCTTGTAGCATTTAATGTGCATAGACTCAATTTTATGCAAATTGTTCCCAGAAAGTATTTGACAGAATTCTAGAGATGTGAATACTATTATGTGTATAGGTAACATAGGCTAAACTTTTCTCTCAGTAGTGTATTGTTTTCATTACTAATTAAGTATTTGAATATCATCTCTTGTGACAGATTTAATTTGATATTTATGCCTTTTTTCCCTTGCTATACTTATGATAGAAAATCAGTGATTCAAGTTGAGTCTAATATTCTGTTTGAAGAAGTAAAGGGGATGTATCTTGGTTTACACATGATTTATGAAAAGTTTTGAGTATTGAAGTAGATTTAAAACCTGTATCAATGTTTATAATATAAAAAGCAAGAGGTGGCATTGTTTTGAATGAAGTATCTTCAAGTCGATATCAGACATTTTAGAACAAAATGGGAAGTCTGGCGTGAATAAAAAATGGGAAGTCTGGAGTGAATAAATTGAATTGGTGTACTTGAAAGTCATTCTTCAAATATTAATTAAGCACCCAGGATTTTTGTGTCAGGTAATCTTTTTCTAAGCAAACGAAGTATGTCAAGGTATATAATTAAAGATGATTGATGGTTTATTATCAATAACTTCTCTTGGCTGTTATTAAAATTAATATTATGTCAATATTATGACAAGGATTGTTTTATATGTATATGTGTGTGTGTATACATACACTATGCTTCAATTTTCAGTGAAAAGGTATCTTTTTTCCTAAATAGTTTAAAATGCACTGAAGGAGTTATCATCATAGGAGCCACAAACTTCCCAGAGGCATTAGATAAGTAAGTATTGAAAGAAAACTTTTGCGAAGCACTGTTACATGGTGTAACGTCAAGGTAAAAGAAGCAGCTCATTACAAAAGATCACCTTGTAGGATTTCATTTATATGCCATGTCCAGAATAAGGAAATCTAGAAAGACAGATTAGATGAGCGGTTGCTGCAGGCTCAGAAAATGAATGAGTGACTGCCAGGGGATGTAGTATTTCTTTTTGAGGGAGTGAGAATATTTTAAAATTAGATTGTGGTGATGGTTGTAGAATTCTGAATATATTAAAAACCACTAAATTATCTACCTTAAATTCTATCACGTGAATTATATCTCTTATTGTTTCTTTTTTTATATACCATAAAAGTTTTAGTTGGAAAGCACTTTAAAAATATTTAATGTGGTATTGAAATTAGCTTTAAATGTCAATTAAAATTTTTTGATTATAGAAGTTATTCATGGTATTGTTTCATCAGTAGTTTGTCTTCACCTAAGACTCTGTTCTAACATTCTATATTTTGCTGTTGAGATGGATGTGTGATTCTCATAAAGTCTGTTGTTGAATTATTTGTTCCTTGATTGACTGACTTGCATGTTTTTATTTCTGTGAAATATGATACATAGATTCTCCCATAAAACTAAATGAACCTTTGTTTTATGTTTTGATTATTGAGACTGTTAATTGAGCTGAGTTTTCAAAGGAGCAGTCTGAACATTATTTATTTATTTATCCATTTATTTATTTTATTTTACTCCCTCCCTTGCACCCTCACCATCTATTTGAACAACGATATTTGAAACTCTGTCTACTCTCTGGCTGCCATTGTCTTGTTGTTATGTCTTTAGTGTGTTAGTCTTGTTGAAGTTGAACTTTTGCAAAGTCAATTTATTAATTTATGTTTTCCTTTTACATTCTTCCTTTAGTGCTTTCATTCATCCTGGTCGTTTTGACATGCAAGTTACAGTTCTAAGGCCAGATGTAAGAGGTCGGACAGAAATTTTGAAATGGTATCTCAATAAAATAAAGTTTGATGAATGTAAGTTAAATTTTATAACACAAACATTATTATCTCTATAAAGTGGTAATATACCCATTCACCTTATTTGTGGATATATAAGAAATCCACACAAAAATCTATTAAAAGACCAGTTTGGGCTGGGTGCAATGGCTCATGCCTGTAATCCCAGCATATGGAAGGCTGAGGCAGGTGGATTGCCTGAGCTCACAGCTTCGAGAACAGCCTGAGCTAGAGTGAAACCCCATCTCTAAAAATAGCCAGGTGCTGTGGTGGGCTATTTTTTTTTAGTCCTGGCTACTAGGAGGCTGAGGCAGGAGAATCACTTGAGCCTATGAGTTTGAGGTTGCTGTGAGCTGTGACGCCATGGCACTCTACAAGGGTGATAAAAAAAAAAAAAGACTAGTTCATTTTTATGTCTCTTCCCCTATCCCCATTTATGTCCTTATGACATATGTCTGTTCCTGAGCCACACACCATGGCTTGCCCCCATGGTTACTTGAGAGACTGAGGTAGAGGAATGGCTTGAGCCAGGAGTTGGAGGCTGCAGTGTACCATGACAATGCCACTGTGTTCAGCATGGATAACCAGAGTAAGACCCCATCTCTAAGAAAAAAAGCAAATAAAAATTAAAAAGTCCATTCCTTAATGAGTGTGTAGCTAAGAGATCGTATTGCTTTGAATCCTGATTCCGCTTTGAATCCTAATTCCGAAGAAAGGTTTTTGTTTTGAGTATGCAGATAGATATTATTTAGAGATCAATGTATCTTTTGTTATTAACTGGATTGAGGTGGAATGCATTCTTCTTAGTAAAGCATCACAAGAATGGAGAAGGAAGAATCCAATGTATTCAATTCTAATATGAAGGCAGTAGATGACTTAATACATGGTGGGGTGGCTCGGTGCCCATAGCTCAGTGATTTAGGGTGCCAGCAACATGAATTGGGGCTGATGAGTTCTAATGGGCGTTGTGGCGGACGCCTGTAGTCCCAGTGACTTGGGAGGCTGAGGCAAGAGAATCACTTAAGTGCAAGAGTTTGAGGTTGCTGTGAGCTGTGATGCCACGGCACTCTACTGAGGGGGACATAGTGAGACTATCTAAAAGAAAAAAAATACATGGTGGGGGGTAGGGGAATAACAGAGTGGTGAGAGGGGAGGAGGGAGGAAGTTGGGGGGTCATGGTGCAAGGCACACCTCTTGGGTGGGACACAATTATAAGAGGGACTTTACTGTTTAACAAATACAATCAATGTAACCCAATTCTTTGTACCCTCAGTGAATCCCAAACAATTAAAAAATAAATAAATAAATTCTCTACTGTATAATAAAAATAAAGATCAATATATGTGTAGTTTTTTTTAAGGTAAATGTAAAATATAGTAGAACCTGTGTAAGTTGACCACCAAGGGACTATAAAAAACTGGTCAACAGAGGCGGTCAACATACAGAATTAGGACTGCTGTACTCATATGTACTGTAGTGCAAGTCTGATCTATGAAAATTTGGTTAGCTTAAGGAGGTGATCAGCTATGGCAGTTTTACTGTATCTATTAATAGAAATAGTTCTGGAAATAATAGATCATGATATAGTCAGTTTGGGGCCAAAAGAGAGGAACGCCAACTATAAAACAAAACACATGGAGACATTACAGACCCATGCGGGGAATAAATGAAGCTGTATTATTTTCAGAGATAGCTAAATCAATTTGTAAAACTAAACATTTCTGGTAATAAGGGGGGCTTCATGTCCAAAGTGTTTCTAGTTGCAATTCAGAGAACAAAATGTTGCAGTTAGGCCAGTAACAATATAGGTCATATTTGAAGTTTTTGATTCATGTAAGGCAACTCCACATTTTATTGTTTTCTTTTTTTTGAGACAGAGTCTTACTATGTCACCCTTGGTAGAGTGCTGTGGCGTCACAGCTCACAACGACCTCCAACTCTTGGGCTTAAGTGAATCTCTTGCCTCAGCCTCCCAAGTTGCTGGGACTACAGGGGCCCGCCACAACACCCAGCTGTTTTTTTTTAGTTGCAGTTGTCATTGTGGTTTAGTTGGCCTGGGCTGGATTTGAACCCACAAGCCTTGGTGCATGTGGCTGGCACTGTAAGCACTGTGCTACAGATGCCGAGCCTTTCCCTAGGAATTTTAATAAACTAAGTTTATTTCAGTTTTTTTTTTTTTTTTT